ATTAACATTGTTCCTCAGAAATGTTGGATATTGTGGAATTTTTCTATATTGTATGGATATAATTTTTAAAGCAAACCAAAGCCGTCGTATGCAGTCACTTTTCAAGTTTCACATTGTCTGTGGGGTGTCTCAGTCAGGGTTTCTATATTTCAGACTGCTCTGTAACTTAGGCTAGCCCCAAACTCAAGGAAGTTCTCCTGCATCAGCCTCCCAAGATATATTTCTTATATCTGAATGGAGAGTGATCACTTGGTGACACTGAGCTATAATTTGAAACTTGTACCTGATTTCATTGTTTATACATTTTTAACATACATCAGTTTTCCATGAACATTTGAGTTATTATTTATGTATCATATTTGATGTTATTTATGCTTTGTTCTATGAAACCAAATTTAAATATCAAGATACTGCTTAAGTATATTAAGAACAAAGGACTCAGTGGCCTAAATGAGATTTGAAGAGATATTACTGTTAGTACATCAAAGTGATTCATGAGATATTTGTCTGCCTCTCTGCTTTATGGATGCTGGTCCTGCAGGCTCTCACTATGAGCTCTGCCTTGGAGGCAGTGCACAGGGACTCTTGCGGTGACTCACCATAAGAATCAGTGCAAGAGAGGGAAAAAAAAGAAAAAAAGAAAAGAAAAAGAGCTCTAAGGGATATAACAGTAAGTGTGTTTAGGGGTGTTAAATAGCTGACTATATCAATGTTTTTGGATCATTGAACACAGCTGTTTGCAGTCTCCCTGTTTGAATGTCCACCTTGTATTCTTTGATACTGTGATTTGAGCAACTATTTTCAAGATGATAATATGTAATCTACTAACAGGTGATTTCTTACTGTTATGTTTTTTTTTTTTTTTTGTAGTTCTGTATTAGGTGTACCCTTACACTGCTTTGTTTTGTTTTGTGTTTTTCTCTTTTTCCTCTTAAAAAAAAAAAGAATCAGTGCTCCTATTTGGCTGGTATGTTAGCTGTGAGTTGCAATATAGCATCAAATTTGCTGTCTCAAAAATGTATATATACAAAAATTAATCCCCACGATGTGGAATAAAATTTGAAGAAATCACTCTCCATTCAGCTGTTTTGTTTGGTTTTATTTGTGTAGTTTAGTTTTGTTTTATTGAGACAAGTTTTCTCTATGTATATCAGCTAGATTTGAACCCTTTATGGAGCACAAAATTGCCCTAACCTCAAAGCAGCATTCCTGTCTGAACCTCTTGAGTGCTGGGATTATAGATCTGTGTGTTTGTACCCTAGAAAATATTGAGGCTTGTAACTTAGTTGTGTTGTAGGTTGGCTTAATAGATGCCATCTTGAGCTTTGCATTTAACTAGTGCCCTGTATTTCGCTCAGAAAAATGGAAAATCACTCAGGGTATAAGTCCCAGGAGAAAAGCAAAATGAGCTGTAGCCAAAGAAAAAAATTAACCTGCTCAACAAAAGAAGCAGAATACAGTTGTCATGCAAAAATTATTATAAGATTCTAGCTAAATGACTTCCAACTATCTTTTGGTGATTCTATCTTTTAAAACATCTCTAACTTTCCAGTTCAGAGCCTCTTGTTTAGATCCTGAAATGGGGGTGGGGGTTCTGTATACAAGTGGTGCTGAGAGCAGCTAATGAAATTCCACATTTCTCAATAGGATTGCTTGGCTTCCTATATTATTGTTCACAAAATCACCTCAAGCTGCAGAAACCTTACTGACACAGGCAAACCTCAGGATTAAATATCAGTGCCCCTGAAATGAAAGAATAGTAGTGAAAAGGAGAAGAGAAAAAAGACAAACACCATGTGCTATAATGCCCACCTCTTTTCCCCAGCAAAGAAGAAACTGAAACAGGAGAGTGGCCATATATTCAAAGACAGCCTAACCTACATAGTGATTGCAAGGCTTCCCAGAACTCCAAAGTGAGACTATGTCTTTAAATCAAAAACTAAAATGAAAAAAAAGCAACCAAGTAGACAGAAAAATTATTAAAAACAAACAATAATAGAGCTGAGTGAAATTTGAGTTATGTAAAATGGGAATTATTGAATGATGTTGCAGAGGAAAGAAGTCCATGTAGTGGCATCCAGGAGGGAGGGACTAACACAGACTTAGGAATGGCACCTATTGTGCTACAGCACAACAGTGACCTCCTTCCTCCAATACATTTGCAGTTCACTAGACTGAGGACTTCTAAAAGCTCATGGAAATGTTAAACTCAGGGCAAACAAGCAGCCTGAAATTCTGGCTTTGGCACAATGCCTTTAGCAGACACTTCATATTTAAATTGAGATAAGAGAAATATAATCCTGCCCTGTTTGATATCAAATGCAGCAAGTTTAATGTCTCACAACATTGAGAAATGAAGTCATAAACCAAAAGAAGTTCAAAAATTTTCTTAGAAAAAAAGAAAGAAGAATAGCCCTGAATTTTCAGGAGTGGTCTTCGGGTTTTTGGCCACAGACCTATTCTCAGGGGTCATTTATACAGGAAAATCACAATGTGAGTACAGTGTGGGTCTCAGACTACTATCAACCTATAAGCTTATAGCTGCTTAACTAATAATATTCAACAGGGGAACAAGTCAGCCAGAAAAGGTATGTGGAAAGAGCCAAGGCATTTTGTGGGAACAATAGTCCAGGTGTTCTGGTCATTGAGTATGGTAATTGATGCCCATCTGAACTTCCTGGAGGAGGTGGTGGTAACTGTAGTACATTGCAAACTGTTGTTTTTCTCTTCAGGACCATGTAGACCTGGTCACTTCATCTTCACCTTCAGGTCTGGCTTTCTTCAGCTGTGCCTGTAGCAGTGATTGTTGTACTTAGTTTTTTGCATTAACTATTTGAGGTTCCAGTTCCTCTCTCATTATATATCAATTTCTCTCTACATTGATATCCTTTGCTAAAATCACAGTTCTATTTGAATGAATAAAGTGAAATATTCATTAATACAGGCCAGGGATTTATCTTAGGAGGCAGAAACACCTGCCTGGAAAGTGCTAGGTTGTAGCTTTGATGCTCGGTACCTAAAAAAAAAGTAATTTAAACTGCAAGGAAAGAAAATAATTTCATTTGTGAAAATTAAGATTTACAAAATTTATAACTAAATATGTCAATGGCAAATTAAACATTGTTAATAGTCATATTTAGATTTAAAGTAGTTTGGTCTGGAGTTTGAACTCAAGGACACAAGGAGCTTCCTGGAGAGCACAAGGTCACGAGTTCAATCCCTCATACAGAAAAAAAAATCACAATTGTCAACGATGCAGTGCTATGAGCACATTTATTGAAACTGATACTTGGTATTTAATAGGCTTAATGTTTCTTTTGTGGCCTATGAAATACCTGCTCAATAACATGGGTATTACAGTGAATGATATACTGTCCCTTATAGGATTGCTATTTTCTGAGTTGGTTTTATTTTTTGTTTTCCCACATACTTGAAAGTTGAAAATGTTGGCTGGTGCTAGGTAGAAAAACTGTGATAATTGTTTTTTCATTTTAATGATATATATCCATATATTCATTAAGAACATTTTATTTGCTACAGTTACTCCAAGTCAAATGGATAAACAATTCTTAAATTTACAGGCAGCTGAGTTAGTTAGAAATAGGGGCAACCGTACCATGATATAGTGGAATGAAATTCCTGACCTTCTAAGTCTGGTATGAGTTTGTGTTCTCTAAAGGCAAAGAATGAATTTTAGGAACAACAGAAATTAAGAGCACAATGTACTTCTTGAGAGAAAGAAAGCCACCTGAGAGAGAGAATGGGTCCTGAGCGGGATGCCAAACACTGTCTTTCTAGGGAACTTTGTAGAGCAAAATCATGTGGTAAGCTGAGTTTAAGGTGGGGAAAAATCGGAACTCACAATGCAGATGGGCATAAGATGGGACAGAGCTATGGTAGCCAATAAGATTATAAGTTCATGTAAAGTTGATTAAATTGGGAACAAAGGGGAAGGGAGTCACATAGGAAGCAGGCATTCTTAGGCAGCAGTGACATTTCCCTTAGGGTTATGGGAGGGTGACACCTGAGTTCATCAGGATAATAGGAGATATTTAAAATGTCAGTCCTTAGAATAAGCATACTTTTCTTTGAATGGTGAGTCCTGACCTCCTCAGAGTGCTAAGGCACTATTTAGAATATCAGTCTTTAGTATATGGATGAATTTGCTTATCATTTGTCTTGAGACTTGGCCCATAGCATGACGTGTCAGTCTTCCCCATAGTTGCATGCTATCTCGTCTCCTGCATGGACTCCTTGGAGGACCTAGCCCTGCCTTATGCCAATACTATTTAACTAACTTAGGTGTCTGTAACAGTACTGTTTGGATAATTGATTACAGATGTCTTGTGCTCTGGGTGAATGATCTGGGGATTACAGTGTGCAATGTATATTCAAGTGTTACCCCCGATTGACATGTTTTGAAATTTAATTTTAGTTGATGTGTTCTTTTTTCATTGAAATAAAATGGATTTGAAAATTAAAAGACTGAGGTAAAGCTCTTCAGTACAAACACTCCTCTGGTCGAGCTGAGTTCACCACTGTAGAAGAATGGCAGCTCCAGAAGTCCCAGCACTATAGTCTATCTTTTGAGATCCTCTCTTGCAGGGAGGGGTTCCTTTCCCTGTTGATTCTTGACTCAGAAGGAGAGCAGTAGAGCAGGAGTCAATCAGTGATGAAGGGGCAGGCTATATGAAGTGTCCAATTTTCAGGCCATTGCTGGCTGTGACTTTTGTCTCTTCCAGTGTCTCAGCATGATTTACCTTTTCTGAGTAGGATACTGGTAGCAAAACGCTTGCTGCATCTCATTTAGTACTTTTGATGTCCTGTGGCCTGATTAGCAAAGAACCTGAGAGATCCTGGAGCCATGGAATGGCGAGGTTGTGGATGGGAGCCCAGAGATAGGGTGGATTGGGTGAAACCAGTTACAAGTATTTAGAAGAAATTCCGGTGTCTGGAGCCTCAGGTATTTAGTTAGCTTCAGCTCCTGAGGTCCTCCAGCATTGTCCATGGGTCATTCACTGTCCCTTTTGCCTCTTGCTGTTGGCAAGGGTGATTTGGGGTCCCCAGGACCCTGGCTTCACTATGACAGCAGCAGACTCAAGTATCATCTTTGAAATTCACTGCTGGCCTGGTAACTCCACAATCTTAGGCATTGAAAGGAGCTTGAGAAGACCCTGACTATGATACTTTTTGTAGCTTGTAGAGCAGTAATGAGCTAGGTCTCTGCTCTCTTTCCTCAGAGTCACAGATCTGGAATGTCCAAAGTTTAGTAATATCTGTAATGCAGGGCCTCATAGCCACAATGGCTCAACTTAAACTTGGGTTTTTTTGTATTTGTAGTGATCTCCTCAATTTATAGTATGTTCTCATATTTCCATCCTCATGACAGGTAGTGGCAAAGGTCCTGGGAATTCAGAGATGTGTAGTAGTGTGCCTCAGTGGAAAAAGGCTTCCCAAACAAGTGATGAACTCTTGTGTATTATACGGATCAGTGCAAAATAATTTCTGAACATACTTAGTTATTTATGTGGCATGCCTGCTCACAGACTAGGTTTGTGAGAACAGCCATAGGGTTTTGAAGTCTGAGAAAAATGAAGCAAATATGAAAGTGTTATCAAGGACAGGGTAAAAATTTGTGAAGGACAAATTCCTGAAAGGGTTACCTGTTAAATTCTCATCAAAAAATGCTGAAATTTAGGCATTTGCATGGACATATACACGTGATATCCTTCTGAGTGGAAAGGAATAGGTGCGTCATCTCTGAATTAAGAGCTGATTTAGTGGCTTGGTTGTTCACAGACAGTTAAATATGGAAATGCTCTGCAATGGAATTTACTAAGTGGTGTAAAGGACAAGCTCTAAATTTTGCAGTGATATCAATAGTTAGGCATTAAGGGTTTCCTGCAGAGGATGGATCAGAGGAGCGTGGAAAGGATGTACAAGTGACTGACAGAATGCAGGAAGCCAATAGCAGGGCATACAACAGAGAGGGTCTTCACTGAAATTCAGGTAGTTCTTAGAGTAAGTGTGAAGTTAAAGTTGGGTTCTGATTGCTTCCTTGAGGTGATCAAATCCAGCTCTGGCAACAATTAGTGTTTCACATCCTTGTAAACCCATGAATTTTCTGTTCCATACTTGAGATCTAACTTGGATTATCTCTAATTATGCCCCAGTGTCATGAAGGTAAAATGTGGATCTTTTTTTGTACCAAGGATCGAACTCATGACCTATGCTTTCCAGGCAGGCGTTCATGCCACTAAGCTAAATACCCAACTATGAAAGTGTTTTCTTTGTTGTATGGCAGATATCCACATTGTTTCTCATAAAGTGTGAATATTTTTGGAATTTTTCCATATTGTATGGGTATAATTTTTAAAAACAAACCAAAGGTGTCTTATGCAGTCTCTTTTCAAGTTTCACTTTGTCTGTGGGGTGTCACAGTCAGGGTTTCTCTATGTTAGACAGCTCTGTAACTTAGGATAGCCCCAAATTCAAGGAAGACGTCCTTCACCAGCCTCACAGGACATATTTCTTATATGTGAATTGAAAGTGAACGCTTGGTGACAGTGAGCTATAAATTACAGCTTGGGCCTCTTTCCCTTTTATATACTTATTTTTTAAAAAAAGCATTTTTCACTAACATTTGAGTTAATATTTGTGTACCATATTGGATGTTATTTATGTTTTGTTCTATGAAACCAAATTCATGTTTCAAAATGCTGTTGAAGTATATTAAGTACAAAGTATTCACTGGCCTAAATGAGATTTGAAGAGACATTATCTATAGCCTATCAAAGTGATTGATGAGATTTTTTTTCTTTTTGTAAATTTTGAAAGTGGTAAAATACAACAGAACAAGGCAGAATAAGGCCAACTAAGATCATACAGTGAAAATGGTACACAACTTCACAACTGGTTACTGCGATAACAGTAATAGGTATCACAGTATACTTTATTATCTTTATAATAGTTTTTTTTTGTCTTTTTCCTTTTTATCAGTACCGGGGATCGAACCCACGACTGTCTTCTTGCAAGGCAGGTGCTTATGCCGCTGAGCTAAATCCCCAGCCCCAATAGTTGTTCTTTCAAACACATATATCAAAATGAGATGAAATACAGAACATTATAGTACTTATCAAAACAGAATATTGAATAGAGCAATACCATTAATCAGAATAGAGCAAAACAGTAATAAAAATATTTGCCTCCAAAGAGATAGTACAAGGAAGGCCCCCTTATTCGTTATGGTCTGCTTCCCAGGAGATGCTCAGATTTCTGATTCCCATTTGCTAACGGGGGGGGGGGTGACAGGAGAAGAAGGGTAGGAAAGTGGGATGTTTGATTCTAGGCCGTACATCAATAGGTTCACTACTGCTTAGTAGGGAGACAGGCCGGTTGTTTGGTTTCACAGCGTCCTAAGTTCCCACTTGGCGTGGATCTCAGGAGTTGCTGCTGATTCTCCCCCTGGAAGGGCCACATTCTGCGAGACCGCCACCGCTTACCAGGGAGAAGTGGTGCTTGCTTGCCTTCCAAGTGTCCTAAATTGCAGCATGGCATGGATCTCAGGAGCTGCTGCTGGTTTCCCCCTGGATAGGCCACAGTCTGGCAAATCATCACCACATACCAGGGAAGGGAGGTGCTTGTTTGGCTTCCCATTTAATTGATGGGATATTTATCTGGTTCTGTGCTTTGTGGATGCTGGTCCAACAGGCTTCTCACTGTGAGCTCTGCTTTAGAGACAGTACACAGGGAATATTGCAGTGACTCAGCACAAGAATCAGTGCTCCTATTTCACTCTTACATTAGCAGTGAGTTGCAATCTATCATCAAATTTGCTGTCTTCAAAAATGTGCATATACACAAAATTAATGACCAAGACATGGATTTAAATTTGAAGATATCAGTCTTCATTCAGCTGTTTTGTTTGGTTGTATTTGTTTACTTTTGTTTTGTTTTATTGAGACAAGCTTTCTGTATGTATATCAGCTAGATTTGAATATCCTGTGGAGCCTAGAATTGCCCTGAACTCACTGAAAGCATCCTGCCTCAGCATTTTGAGTGCTGGAATTATAGATATATACCACCACACTTTGCTTTTGATTCAAATTTGTAGGAGAGAATATAAGATTTCCCAAAACCTGGTGTCTCAACCTTTGTGTGAGAAATATATGTATGATGCTTTAGGAGGTGGTGACCTTGGAGGATGTGGTTGTGAATTTCAGCAATGAGGAGTGGACTTTGCTGAGTCTATCCCAAAAGAACCTCTACAGAGATGTGATGGGCGAAACCTTTAGGAACATGACTGCAATAGGTAAGGACAAAATACTTTTGTCATTCATGCTGTCAGAATATTGTATGTCACTCATCAGTGCTGTTTCATTAAAAACAATGTGAAAATATTTTTAAAAATAGCTCAGACCTGGGCACATTAAATCATAACTCTAAACAAAATCTATTAATTTGTGTATATTATTCTAATGGGTGCTGGTATTTGTATGTCTACAATTCAGGAGGACTTGTGGATATCCAGGAAGCTGAAAAAGAATGCAAAATTTACTGGAGATACTTAAGGTAATTTGCGCTCATAAGGAGAAGGAATGTTCCTGAGTAATTAGTGAGTCAGCAGAAAAATGACCACCAAAGAAATGAGGCACCATTCTATTTATTGTCAGTAATATTCTCCGAAGACATATAAGCTAGGGTATGTATAATGAGTGGATTAAATCATAAAAATGTATGTCATTGCATATAGATGTGTACGAAAGGCATACACTTTGAGTTATGACATTCTCCCTTCAGTTTTTCTACCCATATATGCATGTGAATACAATACATTCATTATCTAAAAATTATTAAGATTACAATAGAATTTGAAATAAAACAGAGTGCTTGTGTTTCCAAGCCATGCTCTAAAGAATCAGCCATTCTGACTAAAATTCTTAGAAGGCTGGTGGAATGTTAAGTGCACTCATTCTGAATATCAGTGTGCAGTTGTCTCTAGAAATTGATCCCCTCATACTTGTCCTGGATATATTTTTAAAAATTCAAAATCCACATAAAATACTGATACATGCTTGCTCATATACAAAGCAGATCAAGTTATAATAGATCAGGCCTTGAAGAAGCTTAGCTATCTATCACTGGATTTGTGGAGAAGGAAAATGTTAATAGAGTCTCTGTGATTGTGCATTCTTGTAAATCCAGCACACTAGGAATCAGATTTTGCAGAATGGCAAATTCAAGTTCAAACATCACAGCTTAATGATCAGTGAAAATGTCTTAAAACAGATTTAAAAAGTTATAGATTTTATGCTAATAGCTTTTGTTCATTCCCAACATGGAAAAGAAAAAAAATGTGTTATATAATGTCAAAAAATAAATAATATAATGTCATTTGCCATAAGAAATAGGTGGTGCTTTCTCCCATCAATTCGGTGAAATAGCTCAGCTATAAAACCTAAAAGGTCACAGGATTTCTTTTAGATGAGAAACCAAAATATAAATTGTGGAATGAAATGAAAGAAAGTTAATACAGAAAGGTAAGACTGACCATATGGAAAAGGGAACTACAGGTTAAGCACAGAAGGGAGATTGTGATGGGGAAGCATATCAGAATGATCTGTATGTGATACACATATGTACCCTTGCCCAAAGTGAAGCTAAAGATTCTGCATTTGAAAAGGTACCAAATTTTAAGATTTCTACATGTGTATTATTCTTTTGGGAATGGTTGGTTTCAACATGTCTTACAAGGCCATTCTGTTATTTCATGGTCAGAATTTCTTAGCAGGCATTAAAAACAAAACTTGATATTAATGCAGTCATTAAACTGAGACCCAGTTCACTGTGAATGTTTCTTATTTTTTTATTTAATGTAAAGAAAGAGTAAAAAAGAACAAAGTAAGTAGAAATGATACCGCTTTCAAAATGAAAATAATCAGTAAGAAATCTAAAGACAGTGATTACATATGCTGCTCATAGAAATAGTTAATGAAATACAAAAGTGAAACATATGACGTGGGATTCAAACAGCGAGACTGCAAACAGTTTTGTTCAACTCTCCCATAAAAACTTAGTAATATAGTTATCAATCCTATATGTGGTATTTTTTTTTTAACAGAAATGAAAAGCTAGGTAAATCCTGTGGACATACATCTTGGAATCAGTGTAGAGAAGTATTCCTTTGTACTGCAGAAGGTAATGTGAATGTGAAAGAAGCAGAAACACACCACAATGTTCAGATCCATGAAAAATATTGCAGTGGAGGGAAACCCTATATATGTCAACAATGTGGAAAAGGTTTCACCAAATCTGGACATTGTAAGCAACATGAAAGAATTCACACTGGAGAGAAACCCTATGTATGTAAGCAATGTGGGAAAGCTTTTACCACACATGGACATTGTAAGGCACATGAAATAATTCACACTGGAGTGAAACCATATATATGTAAGCAATGTGGTAAAGCTTTTAACACACGGGGAAATTGTAAAACACATGAAAGAATTCACACTGGAGAGAAACCATATGTATGTAAGCAGTGTGGGAAAGCTTTTAACAAACATGCAGATTGTGAAAAACATGAAAGATTTCACACTGGAGAGAAACCTTATGTATGTAAGCAATGTGGGAAAGCTTTTTACACACAGGGAGATTTTAAGAATCATGAAAGAATTCACACTGGAGAGAAACCCTATGTATGTAAGCAATGTGGGAAACGTTTTACCCGACATGGAAATTGTAAGCAACATGAAAGAATTCACACTGGCGAGAAACCATATGTATGTGAGCAATGTGGGAAAGCTTTTAAAACACGTGCACATTGTAAGGTTCATGTAAGAATTCACACTAGAGAGAAACTTTATGTATGTAAGCAATGTGGGAAAGCTTTTAGCACACATGAACATTTTAAGGCACATGAAATAATTCACACTGGAGTGAAACCATATGTATGTAGGCAATGTTGGAAAGCTTTTAACACACGGGGGTATTTTAAGCAACATGAAAGAATTCACACAGGAGAGAAACCCTATGTATGTAAGCAATGTGGGAAAGCTTTTACCACACATGGGCATTGTAAGGCACATGAAATAATTCACACTGGAGTGAAACCATATGTATGTAAGCAATGTGGTAAAGCTTTTAACACACGGGGAAATTGTAAAATACATGAAAGAATTCACACTGGAGAGAAACCCTATGTATGTAGGCAATGTGGGAAAGCTTTTAACACACAGGGATATTTTAAGAAACATGAAAGAATTCACACTGGAGAGAAACCCTATGTATGTAAGCAATGTGGGAAAGCTTTTACCACACATGGACATTGTAAGCAACATGAAAGAATTCACACTGGCGAGAAACCCTATATATGTAAGCAGTGTGGGAAAGCTTTTACCCAACAGGGAAGTTGTAAGCAACATGAAAGTTCACACTCAAGAAAAAAACAGTGCATGTAAGCATCATGAATTTTTTGAGCACAAGTACATATTGCATAATGCATGAAAAACTTCACACTGGGAAGAAAACTTATATATGTAAGGAATGTGGGAACGGTTTCAGCAGGAATGCTCATTGTCCAATACATGAAAAAATTTACACTGTTGAGAAACCCTGTTTATGTGAAGAATGTGGGAAAGCTTTCACCACACATGGATTTTGTAAAATACATCAATGACTCGGGGGCTGGGGATTTAGCTCAGCGGCATAAGCGCCTGCCTTGCAAGCAGGCAGTCGTGAGTTCGATCCCCGGTACCAATAAAAAGAAAAAAAAAAATACATCAATGACTCCACACTGGTGAGAAACCCTATGCATATAACAATGTGGCAAAGCTTTTACCACACACAGTTATTGCAAAACACATGAAACAATTCACACTCAGTAGAACCACTGTCTACATAAGCTAGTGGAGACACTTTCAGCAGCCAGGTTGTAAGTAAAATATGTGAAGAAATTCACACAAGAGATAAATCCTATGTGTTATGTATTTATCTCAGCACACATGATCATTGCTGCATATCTGAAAGAGCTCACTGGATCCTATGTGTATTAACAATGTGAGAAATACGGCAATCCATTTTTGTTGTTAAATACATAGAAAAAGCAGCACTCTTCAGACAGTTTAGATCTAAGTTTAGTTTAAAAATTCCAAATAGACCTGAAGAAATAATGAATACAGAAGTTTGATGTCAATATTTCTTCACAAATTTTCCAGAAATGACAAATCTGAAGTGGAGCTCTACTCAAGTACATATTTTTTATGGTTTTCAGTTAATCACTTATACCTCTTTAGATTTTTTAAAGTGTCTGTGTGCTTCAGCATGGCATCTTGTAATTAAACATGGTAAACTGAAATGGGCTTTTCACTTTCAAGTATGAATAGTGTCTATGTACTTAATATTTTGTCTTTAAAACTTAATTTTTATATTTTTGATGAATTATTTTTATTTAAAGAAAAAAAAACCAAAAGTGTAGAAATAATACAGAAGTTCTGAAAAATAAACAATAAGAAATCACTAGTTGATTAGTTACATATTGTTATCTTAGAAGTAATTGTTCAAGTCACAAAATTAAAGCATACAAAGTGATATTCAAATAATGACACTGTGAACAGTTCACCTCAGTGATCCAACAGGAACTTATTAATATGCTTATCTGTTGTATAGACTTGTTTTTTATCTTAAAGATGGTAAGACTAAACATGACAAAACAGAACAGTTCACAAGGAAATAAGTTAAGGAAACACAGGTTTCACATCAAGTCCACTGAGATGTTCATTTTCTATCTTACTGTCTCTAGTTTTCTTCAAAATATTTGTTCCCATCTTCACATGCATTGAATATATACTGAACATTATAGAACTAATCAAATAATTACAGGATGATGCACCCTTTTTTGATCTTCAAGACTGATTTTGGGGAAGTTGGTAATGATTACCATAATGTGTCTCATTCATTCTGTTCGTAGTTGACGTCTTTATTTTTATGTATGCTGAAATTGAACATAAGAGACTAAACCAATATCACTCTGAACAGTGAATAATAGTATCCTTAGAAGGAGAAAGGTGAGGAATTGCCTAAAAAAAGAAGGCAGAGGACATTGTTAAAAGTGAATCAGGATTTAAAAGCTACAGTAGTTCTGTTGCTCTGTTTATTTTGATTATATTTTGTTGTGGTCTGTCTACTCCTTAGATTTGAGGGCACAGAGAGATAACCCAAAAATAGAAGGTTATACTATGATGGTATCTGTCCTTAATTTTCTATTAACTAAAACTGAAACTCTATATTAGTTACACTGTCTTACTATGACTGATGTTATTTGAAGCTTGTTTGTTTGAATGTTATTTGGCCTTGACTGATTTTATTCACATTTGGTATGCTTGCTGGTATCAAGTCCAACAGTAGAGGCAACTACTCTGAAGATGATAAAATGTGACAGATATATATTGTGGGGCTGGGGATTTAGCTCAGTGGCTTAAGCCCCTGCCTGGCAAGTGTGAGCTTTCCAGTTTGATCCCCAGTACCAAGAAAAAAAAATTAAATAAATAAAAGATATAAATTCCAGGTTTAAT